AAAAAAAAGTTTACAAAATAGTTTGTAAAATATAATCCTATTTTAGGTTAAAAACAAACAAAGCAATTTCATATGATCACTTTTATATAACGATAGCACATGGCCTGAAGTAAAAAACAACATACTTTCAAACTATGGTCATCTCTGGTAACTGTGAGTAGCAGAGAGGTGAGAAAAATCTGGGCATTTTATTTATATTCACTTTTGTATTGTTTGAAATTTTTCCTTCAAGTAAGCTAAAAAGAATGCAATTTTATAATGTAATTAAAAATAACTCCTACCCTACCCCTCACATTATAGTTTCTAGTATTACAAAGGAGGAGCTGAAAGCTCTGGTAGTCTCATTAACACAGCCTTTTTGAAAGCTGATGAATTAATTCATAAAAGCTGCCTAAGATAATGACATAAGTGGAAAAGCAGGCAAAATTTAATATGTACTAATGCACGACATCATCTGCTGACTTGCCTCACTGTGACCAATCCTAGCAGGCGTTTCTTCCAGGCTACTGAGAAATTGGCAGAGCCTATTTTCATATTTAATGTCGCCACTCCTTTGTCTGAAAGCTCTTTGAGTGATCTAAGCAGCCTGCCTGGAGGCAGGCACACTTCTCATGCTGCGGTTCAATTAAATCTGCTTCCAGCACCGCCCACTCTCAACAGTTAGCACAGTATGGCAGAGCTGGAAGAAACCAAAACAAAGGAGCATGAGATGTGAGGTCAGAAGTCCTCCTGGGTAGCCCTCTCCTGAACCTAGAGATTTCTTGACCTGAGGACAGAAATTTCCTATCAAGGTCACTTGGCCCCACTTACAAAGTTCATCTGATTTTCCCCTTTCCTTCCTTTCAAAGGTTGAGTCAGCTGACCTTATAGTGGTTCCAGATCAGACCTTTGAAAGAAAGAATTAGAATCTCATTCCTCCATGATGCTAAAGATTCTTCCCTCACTGATAAAAAAAAAATAAATAAAATTAAAAAAAATAAAAAAAATAATAAAAAAAAAGAACTCCTTTCAGGGGACTTTTCTGGTGGTCCAGTGGTTAAGACTTTGTGTTTCCAAGGCAGAGGGTGCTGGTTTAATCCCTGATCAGGGAACGAAGATTCTATATGCCTTGCGGCCAAAAACTTAAAAAATAAATTTGAAAAATTAAAAAAAAAACCCAAAACACCCTTTTCAAACAGAGCATTAAATTCTTTAAGGGTTAAATTTCAGTGTGATTTATTACAAACAACTAGAGCAGATGTCAGTGCTCCGCCCACTCTGCAGCACTATTCACAATAGTCAAGACATGGAAATAACCTGAATGTCCATTGCCAGATGAATGGATAAAGAATACGTGGTATGTATATGCAATGGAATACTACTCAGCCATAAAAAAGAAGAAAATAATACCATCTGCCACAACATGGGTGCAACTAAGGATGCTCATACTAAGTGAAATGAGTCAGAAAGAGAAAGACAAATACCATACATCACTTAGGTGGTTGTTGTTTAGTCACTAAGTCGTGTCCAACTCTTTTGTGACCCCATGGGCTATAGCCCGCCAGTCTCCTCTGTCCATGGGACTTTCCAGGCAAGAATCCTGGAGTGGGTTGCCACTTCCTTCTCCAGGGAATCTCCCCGACCCAGGGATTGAACCCGAGTCTCTGCATTGGCAGGAAGATTCCATCACTGAGCCATCAAAGGAAGCCCACGTCACTTGTACGGCACAAATGAACCTATGGAACAGAAAGAGACTCATGGGCCTGGAGAACAGACGTGCAGCTGCCAAGAGGGAGCAGGGGGAGGCAAGGGAGCGACTGGGCGTCTGGGGTGCACAGGTGCGAACCATCACATTTAGAATGGAGAACAACAGGGTCCTAGTGCACACCTCAGGGAACTAGACTCAACGTCCTGTGATAAACCACACTATTCTCACGTTAAAAGAATGCGTATATGTATATAACTAAGTCACTCTGCTTACAGCAAAGACTGACACAACATTGTAAATCAACTATACTTCAATCAAAAAATGTAAAGAAAAAAAATAAACCCTAGGTTTAAATGTATACCAAAAGCTGTAACATTCCTAGAAGAAAATATGGGGGAAAAACATTAGTGACTTTATCCATTTTTTTAAAAAAAAGGGTAAACTGAATTTTATCAAAATCAAGAAACTTTTGTTCTTCAAAAGACACTGTTAAGGGGATAAAAAGATAAGTTACAGACTAGGAGAAAATAATATATCTAATAAAGAACTAAATTCCAAAATACATTAAAAAAAATCCTTACAATTCAATAATAAGAAACAACCTAACTTTTTTTAATGAGCAAAAGATCCAAACAGACCATTCATTAGATCCAAGGATGCCAAAGAATCTCATTAATAGATGTTCAATACCATTAGTCACCAGGGAAATGTAAATTAAAACCAGAGTGAAATATCACTACATACCTATTTAAATGATTAAAATTTTTAAAACCTGACAATATTAAATGCCAGGGAACATACATAGCAATTGTAACTCTGATGGGACATAAAATGGTAGAACCATTCTGGAAAATGGTTTGGCATTTCCTTATAAACTTAAGCTATATTTATAAAGCACCCAGCAGTTTCATTTCTAGTGTTTACCTCAGAGAAATGAAAACTATGTTCACAGAAATGCCTGTATGCCAATGTTTACAGTAGCTTTATTTGCAACTGCCAAAAACTGAAAATGGCCCAAATGGCCCTCAACTAGAAAATGGGTAAATTGTGGTACATCCATTCAATGGAATACTACTCAGAAACGAAAAGGAACAGATTACTAATACATGCAACAACACGGATGAGTCTCAGTGAATTACAGTAAGTGAAAGGGCCAGACTCAAAAGGGTACTGGAATATTGTGATTTATAGGAAATATATACTTGGTCATTCAGATGACCAAAATATATTTCTCAATTATATTTGGCCTTTAATCATAGTTCCTGGCTCATATCTCCCAAAACAAAAGAAATTTTCTGATTTAAGATATTAATGAAGGTGACTTCTGGATCCTTCCCCAGGGTGGGGGATGGTTGCCAGGGGAACCAGTCATGTGATTAGAGGGTTGAACATTTGGTCCCATCCCCTGATTTCCTGAGGAAGGGAGAAGGGGTCTGAGGTTGAATCAATGCCATTGGAGGATGATTCAGTTAATCATGACTGGGCAATGAAGCCTCCATTAAAACCAAAAAAGACAGCTTTTGGGTCAGTCCCACTTTTTCCAACAGCTCCCATGCTAGGGAAACCAGAACACTTCTGCATGCCACCAGGCCAGGCTCCAACTCGAGGAGGACAGACGCTCTGTTCACCGGGACCTTGCCCTACGTATCCCTTCATGTGGCTGTTGCTTTGTATCCTTTAATGTCCGTTTATGATAAATCAGTAATCTGGTGAGTATATGGGTTGTCCTTAGTTCTGTGAGGCATGAGGCATTTAATCTTTGATTTACAGCCAGTCGGTGAGAAGTCCAGGTAATGACCTGGACTTGGAACTGGCGTCCTGAGCTGGAGGGGTCACTGGAGCCCCCAGTGTGTAGCTGGTGAGTCAGAGGCACAGACCCAGGCTTATGATCGGCATCTAAAGCGGAGGGCAGTCTCCTGGGACTGAGCCCTGTATGGTGGAATCTGCTTCTAGCCCTGGGTAGACAGTATCAGAATCAAGTTGGAGTCTCAGAGACCCCAGTGATGTCGGAGAATTGCTTACTGGTGCGGGAAGCCTACACACACACACACACAGACACACACAGACACACACAGACACACACAGACACACACACACACACACACAGGAACTGGGTCTGGGAACCCTTTGTAGGTATGTACTACAAGCTTCCGTTTATAAAATGTTCTGGAAAAGACAAAAATCGTAGGGACAGACATTGGAGCCAAGACTGTTAAGGGAGGGGCAGGAATGACAACAAAGGGACACAGAAGAACCTTCTGGTGAGGAAACCGTGCTTTATCTTAATTGTGGTAGCAGCAAACCACTGTATTTGCCAAAACTCACAAAACTATATAAAAGGCTGAATTTTACTGTTTCTGAATAACTTTTTTTTTAAAAAGCTCCAAATGGAAACCATAAAAACAAATCGGAACAAAACTACTATGAAAATAAACACAAACTTTACGCCCTTAAGGAGAAACCTTTTACACAGGACTGTTAGAAATAAGTTCTGCAGTATCAGACACATCCACTCAGGTTCTCTTAGCCACCGCTACCCTGACATGCTTCGTAGAGGGTACTTTCAAAGACACCACTGCATCCCCAGCTCTTACCTGCACCCTGGGCTGTCAGAGGATGGAAGGAGGCACTAACAGCACTTGTGAAGGGCCCAGGCTGGCGGGCTACGGGGAGCTGGGAGAGGCCGTGGGGGTGCCTTCACCTGCAGTGGGAACTGCACCACCCTTCTTGTTCTTCCTCAGGAGACAGAGGCCGTCACAAACGCTCCAGTGGGGCTCACCCTGGTGGGGACCGCAAGCACACCGCCTGGCCGGTTCTCAGTCCTGCAGCCCTCACCCCTCAGAGAGGAAGCTGGGTTTCGCAGAGGCGATGAAAGTAGGCCAAGGCAACTGAGCATTCCAGTTACCGGGTGGCAGCCAATCACGGGCCCCTCCCCAAGAGCGGCTCGCTCTGAGGTCAGGCCTCAAAGCAGAGTCTGTGCTGTCAGCCTCAACCCAAGGGGAACGACTTGTCGGGCTTGTTCTTCCACCGCAGGAACTTGAAGCTTTGTGATTTGAGACCCCAAATCAATCTGGGCCACAAGGCTGCCAGTCCCCCTCCCTTGGCACTCACCTAGTCCGCCCTGACCTTGTCCTTGCTTCACACGGTCAAAGGTGACAAGGCCACTCCAGTCCGGGGTATTGAAAATGAAAGGCCGTAATACATCCACCACCCAGAATGTCCTGAAACCCAACTCCCCCAGCCCAAGGAGCACCATCATCTCCTTCTGCCCTTCTGGAGCTGTTTCTGCCAGGAGCGGGGGTGGGGGCTCTACCTGTTGTCTTTCCACCCACAGACACCAGCTTCTTCGTCTCTGCCGTCAGCAGCAGCTCATAAGGGTGTTCCTCCTCCTCCTTGGCTGCACTCCCCTGAATCCAGGGTCTCATGGCCAAGACCTGAGAGAGAAAGCACGTACCTCTCAGGCGGGGGGCTAACACCCAGACGGGTTATGTCAAACAAATTGGAGATTATCGGCTCCTTTTTCTTCAGAGAGGAAGAGAGGAGGGGAAGAGAAGGTAAATAAGTCAAGTGTCACAGGGAATTACAACCGCTCTCCTGGCTACACATCTGGGCCTCAAATCTCAATGGCCTTTGATTAAAACACTTCCCTTTCCTTCCCTCATTTCATCCTTCAAAATGCCATAAATAAAGCCCAAGATCCTCCCCTCCCCTGCCTTGCCCCTTTCTGCATGATCTCTTTTCTGTGGATAACACCTTCTGAGTGGTTTTTAGTCACCACGTATCATAAGACCTTCTCTCTCCATGTTTCTTTTCTAATATTTAATACATTCACACAGTACCCCAAAGGCTGGAATCCTTCCCCTCTTCTCAAGAGGGGATCAAAATGATTTCTAACTAACCCTGACTGACATACATTTACTAAGAACAAAGCTGTCTGTAAATCCTCTATTCTGTGAGCCCTTCTTCATAGGCCCCAGGGTTATAGATGAGGATTTTCCCAAAGCTGGCTTCCTACCACACTTAGGAGTACACAATCTTAAATCAATTCTACCAATCTCTATTCTGAAGAAAGACAAGGATGAATTTCAGTGGAGAAAAAGCAGCTCTGTCGCCTGAGAAACCCCTAATCCAGGCAGCCAAGTGTCTCTGATGGAATGACTGGCCAAAGCTGGCCGCAACATCTGCCAACCGGCTTGAGTCAGCTGGGGGCCTGTGGCCACAGCCAGTCTCGGCACCGGAGGAGCCAAGCGTCTTGACACAAGCCAGAAACACGACGGTTCATGCTACAGTCACCCTGAGAGAGAGGATGGAGATCCTTGCTAGAGAGGATAATTCTGGCTCATTGGTCCAAAGAATCCAATGTGTTTCATAGGCAAATTAAATATAATACTGGCTATTACAAAAGCAAACCAAAACACAAAATCTCTGATTGAGGAGTTTAGCTGGAACAAGGGATATATTATGAACGAGCGGGTGAGAGGGATTCACAAGTCCATCTCACAAACAAGGGGACTCTACACATGAGGCATTCTGGCGAACCCAGAAACCTCCACCTTTACTGACATGTCCCACGGCTCACTGGAAACAAATCAGGTTTGTGATTCATCAGGATTTGGCTTCTTGGAGGCATAGCTCACAGTGTTACAGCCTAATGAGCTAACAGATTCTAGCAGCCTCAGACTCAATGAGAGACAGCAGCTCCTATCTGCTGCTAACAAGGCTGCCACTCCAAATACAGTGATGGTCCCTTCAAAATTCTGCTGAGCGCAGCAGGCACCTCCACTTACTGAGGACCACCTGACAGCTAAAAACTATTCATTACAGGGAGCCACGTGCCTGCATCACTTATTCCTTTCGCCTCATCATAGGAACACAATTAAGGGAACAAACAGGGGCCATGAAGCAGTTCAGACAGTGTCAACAACACCAGAGGCTTCACAGACAGGAATTTGTATTTTGCAACTTTACACACCCAGGGCCATCACTTAGGCAGAGCCCTGGAAAGCTGATTCTGTGAGTGTTCTACATGCAGTCAGAGCTCCCACATAGCCCCAGGCGGTCTTCTCTGCAAGGTATTGGACAGCCTCGGTGCCTGGCCTATCAGATCCTTTCTTCCCAAGCAGGACAGGGCTGATGACTTCCATCTGGAAAATCAGACCACTGGACCTGCACTCACTCCCTGCCTGGCTCCTGTGCAGGACAGCCAGAGGCAGAGAACCAGCAATGGCAGAGCTGTGACAGCCACAGCTAGGGAGCGCCTGGTTCCAGCTCATTCCTTCAGCGAATGACAAAACCCAGTCCCCAGAGGGGTCCCGGGACTTGTTCAAGGTTACATAGAAAGCTTCCAGCAGAGCCAGGGCCAAAAAATCCAGCCCTCCTCCAGATTCTGGGCTGAGGTGGCCTCTGTTTTTTTCTGGGAAGTACTGTTTCTCCAGTCAATTCGGAATCCTCTCCCCACTTCAAACGTCTAATGAGGGTCCCCTGCTCAGACCCACACCCACACAATCGGAGGGTGATCTTTTCCTCTGTCCTGGCCTCTGCCAGCTATGGGATTAAAATCTCATGAAAAAGCAATAAACTGCTTTTCTGCAAGTCTCCCTAGTTCCCACTCAAGAAGCCCTGTGTCACAGAGAATATGGCAGTAACTGATTTTCAACAGAAAGGATTCTGCTTTTTACTAAATTACTCCTAATCTTTTTTCCCCCTTTCTTCCAGGGCTTGCAATAAATCAAAACCAAAAAAAAAAAAAAAAACAACCCCACAAAAAACAAAAATGTATCCTCTGCTCTATGGACAGTGACATTTTTGCTGCAGAGAAGAGCAACTACCAGTCGCCACCTAACTATGGCCATGGGATGGTCCACCCAGGTGTGGGCAGCTTTCTGGGAAGAAATAACGCAACAGCTGCAGCTTCCCCTCAACGTTCAGCACATCTAAGCAGAGAGAAAACACTGATCAGTCCAATGCAGTCGGCAGCCCATTTGGTGGGGTGAAAACATCTGAATAGCTGAATATACGTGTGTGTGTATGTTTGATTTTTTTAAGGCAGTTTCATGATCTGGTTGTTACACTGATCAGCTTTCCTGGAGCCAGGTACACTCAGTTTCTCTTAAAGGCGTCTGTGGATCATCTGACACCTCAGGAATGGGACAAACACCAGGGCAGAGTGCGTGCCGCCTATGATATGAGGTTTGGGGTATCAAAGCTTTGAGTGTATGAGAAATGAAAATGGTGAAGGCCAGAGTCCAAATTTTTTTTTTAAGTCCACTTTTGGAGACGATCTATCCACTCAAACTACAGTGAACAGAATCTGTCTGGATCATCAAAAGGATAATGACCCAGACCACATCATCTCTGTATTCATGTACTTATAATCATGTACTTCATGATTCATGTACTTCAGAAGCAAAGCCAGGGTTCTCAGGGTCTTCCAAATGTTGACTATGGTGGTCCAACTGATCCAGAATTCCAGGCTACTGGAATATGTATCTCAGACACAGTTTCCAATCCAGGAGAGTTGTAGGGATATTTCTCCTCCTACTACTTCTTGATACAGTATTATTGCCAAACTGTATGCCCTAGCAAGTCCTGAGAGAAGAGAAAGTGCTGGTCATCCAGTATTTCTTTAAGAGTCTTCCCCTTATCCTTGGACATCAGAAATTTTACTCCAAGTCCTTATTAAAGAGGCAGCATCAGGCATTTACAGAGACCTAGCCCCGACTGAAGATGCTCTATTATTGCTGGGTTTCTCCTTGTAAAAAGGGAGTAATAAAGCGAACCTCTACATAAAAACACGTAGGGATTTACCACATGCACGTGTATCTGCTGGCAATGTATTATTACCCTGGAGCCTGTAATTCTAGAGACCCCTTAATCAAGACATGATAATAAGTATTTTGTAACTAAGGGATAGAAAAAAATAAGGACAGAATTTGTACCTAGCATGGAAATCAGCCCCTATCTCCAACACTGACTTTTAGATTCTTAAAAGGATTTCCTTGTGTTTATACCCATTGTTAAACTGAAGTCATCCTTATGGCTGCAGCTGTTTATATTAAATAAAAGAACCTGTCTCACTGGATGGTCCACAGCAGTAAAAAAAAGTTAACTCTGACTTCTGGTGACTGAGTAATGAGATTTAATTGATTAATTTGTGGTAGCTGATTTTTAAGTTAAAGAACAATAGGGCACTGAATGAGCTACAAAAGACTATTGAAATTATATAATATTTTGAATAAACAATAAATGTATTCTCTGAATGGTGGGAAGTGTTAAAGGAGCATTAGGAAGATGCAAGATTAAAGAAAATATGATTTTCTCCATATACCTAAGTTAGAAGACTGAACTATTTACTCATGACAACATTTCTTGGTTTAAAAAGTGAACTATTCTTTTCAAATAGCCTCCTTTGATGTCCCCTACCTATCCCCTGACTCCTATTTTTCCTCTATTTAAGTTTTCATGACATTTTCCATGTTTCCCCAGGTATAAGATTCTTCATGTGAAACAAAAAGGGAAAATGCAAAAACAGAAATAAGACCTTTGGGTCAGAAGCAAAGCTTGCTAATCTGGGCCTTCCTTGGTGGCTCAGTAGCAAAGAATCCACCTGCCAATGCATGGGACACGGGTTCAATCCCTGGTCTGGGACGATCCCACATACCACGCAACTAAGCCTGTGCTCTAGAGCCATGAGCCACTACGACTGAAGCCCACGCGCCTAGAGTCCATGCTCTGAAACAAGAGAAACCACTACAAAGAGAAGCATGCCCACTGCGCTAGAGGGGAGCCCCTGCTTGCTTCGACTGGGGGCCCGTGCACAGCAGTGAAGACCCAGGGCAGTCATAAATAAATAATTTTTTTTTTAAAGCTTGCTAATCTGACCCAGTGTAGAGAACAGTGATTACGGGGTATGCTACACTTTGTATGAAAAGACAACACAGGTACAAAAGCCAAAAGAGAGGCTGTTGAGCCTAATGGAGCCAGGAGGAGATGTGCATGTTTGGCTTTCCATGTGGCATGGCCTGCCTGCTAGACAGCCCTGGTAAAATTCCTTGCTTAGTACTTTTGGGTGAGTTTGAAAGGTCTTGTTCTGGATTATTGATACACACAACAGAAGTTTACTAATCCAAAGAGGCGAAAAGAAAATGAGATAGCAAAGTCTTCTTTAAGTACACACTGGATGCACTTAGCAAAAAATCCTATTTCAGTGATGGGAATAAACCCTCAACTCTCTACCTCAGAAGCTGTCAAGGGAAAATACTTCTTATCTATGTGGTCTTCTTCCTCTTCATCAGGTGGTGGTTTTGCTGGAGGTGGAGGACGTTCCCTCTGTAGAAAAGAAAAATAAGTATTTACTATCTCTTTTTAAGAACCTAACTTTTTTGGTTTACTCTTATCTTAGCCTTTGGGAATAAAAAAGAATAATGTACAGAATTCCCCTGACAGACTAAACTCAAGGTTTAATATCTGAACAGATGGAGAACTCTACACACACACACACACACACACACACAATTCAATTACCATTGCTTTTTTTTTCATCTTTATAGCAGAGATTACAAATATGTCTGTCATATCCTTGGCCATACTGAGAAATATCAGCACTACAAACACACAACTGCCTCATCAGAAAATGTCCTTCATGATACCAGTACACAAACTGCAGTATAGGAAAACCGGTGGCTCAACTTCCAATCTACTAGAGAAGAGGAAACAGTAAATCAAAAGAATCAACTTGTCAGAGTTCTAACAAACCAAAGTTATTAAGGAAATAATGAGGAAAGCCACCTAGGACAAAAACATCAATTCCTGTTCAAAGTGAAAGTGCTAGTCGCTCAGTCATGTCTGACTCTCTGCAACCACATGGACTTGTAGCCCACCAGGCTCCTCCATCCATGGAATTCTCCAGGCAAGAGTATTGGAGAGGGTCGCCATTCCTTTCTCCAGGGGATCTTTCTACCCCAGGGTTCAAACCCAGGTCACCTGCATTATAGGCAAATTCTTCACCATCTGAGCCACCAAACTTAATGCTACTCCTATTTATTAGCAGAGCTCAGAACTGGTCTCTTATCCTTGGTCACTTCCTTCAGTGAGTCTTATTATGTATCATTAGCACAGGAAAATCCTATTTCATCTCAGCCCATTTAAAAAAAGGAAGAGTTGTCAGTTATCTGCCCTCACAGGGGTTGGCCAGCTTTTTCTTAAAGGGCTACACAGTAATTATTTAGGCTTTGTGGTCAGCTCTGCCAAGGGGACATCTAAGCAGCCATAGAGGCTATGTAAATGAGTGGGTGTGGTTATGTTCCAAATACAACTTTATTCACAAAAACAGGCAGCTGTTTGTGGGCCTCAGTTCACCAGTCTCTATCCTCGAGCAAGAAACTCACTTAAGAAGAGATTATCAAGATCACGGTAAACAGTTTCAGGAACACACTGAATGATCTTTGGTGAAAGAAAGCCAAAGAGAGTTCTGCCATTGTCCCTGCTCGATCCTCAGCGTCTTCATATCCTGAAGTCCTATTCATTCCTGAGAGCTCATGTTCCTACAGCAAAGGGAGCTGGCCTGCAGGCCCCTTCCTTGGCTTGTAGGTTAGCTCACTGTGTTGCTAGAACAAGAGTATTTCTAAATATCTGGGTGGAGGTGAATGTTGAATTAAGTGACAGCCTCCAAGAAACCTGCAAGGAAAGACACTTCTCCTGTTTTAGGAGCCGCCATGTCAGTTAGCACTCGGCATCTGTGATCCCTCTGTTAAACACACTTTACTGGCTGGTATTGTATCTTGATAATCTGGTCATTCCCATTGTCCCTGCCACCAGATGGGTGCCCAGTGGCAACAACTCCAATGTGGTCAAGCCAAGTAAAGCTATTTAGGTCGAATTTCCCACTAAGTCCACTTTCCCCCGCTTCTTGCTCCAGAAGCACAGGGACAAACCTGGTCCCAGTGACCTTGTAAGGAGGGGAATGGCAAAAGGAGCAGGCGCATAATCTCACTAGTTATCCAACCAAAGGACACAATAGCTCAGGAAAACCAGAATGAAGCATAATAAAAAATGACTCATCCTAGATGCCTTTTCAAGGCAAGAGAAGCCTAGAAAGAACAGTATAAAAGGTTTCTATGGAAGTGGTGATCACCAGGGACCCTGGAAGGAAAGAAAAGCATGAGTCTCTCTTTTCTACCATGAAAACTTTGGCCGAGGGGCCTGGGACTACAAAGCTGACTCATACATAACTATCCACTGTGCTTACAAGATAGGGAACAGTCCCTTGGCCACAGTTAATTATCAAGGGCCAGGAAGGCAGCACAGCCACAACATCCTCAAGTGAACCTGGCAAAGCAGGCGCCCCAGGATGCATCAGTCTCTACTCAGCAGGACCGCGGGACGCTAGATTCCCAGAGTGGGATGAACAAAGAGCCCATCTAAGTCAGTGGCTAAGCCCACAGGAACGGGGTCAGTCAAAGCTGACTCAGCAACCCTGTGTTCTTGCAAAGCTCCCAGCTCCCTCTAATGGGCATCACCGGTAAGTGCCTCAGATGGCAGCGTCTTCCTCCACAGGTTGGATTGGCCTATTTGTACCTAACAGTGGGAGAAGTGAGAAAACAAACAAAAGCAAAGTAGCTCTGTCTGCAGAAGCACCTTGTGAGTGGTGCCTGGCATACATGCTCGCTGTCGCCACTGACAAGGAGTTTATCACAATCCCTGGTAACACCCACTCTGGGGGTGCTGTCACAAGGTCGGAAGGCCTTTCCAAAATCCATACGGAAATGCTGGGATGGGGCAGGGTCAGAAGTCTAACAAAAGAGAACACCAAACCATCTGGCCATCCCTAGGGCACTGATGAAAGGCCCAAGGATCACCAGGCAGCCAAAGATCATCAAAATGGTCATAAGCCAGATTCTCACCAAAGGGAAGGGCCAGCCTCTCAAAACAGGAAGATGTAATATACACCTGAAAATATGCCCCAAGGTGGGACTATCACTGGAATCCTGCTACAGCAATGCCTGTTTATGAGAAGCACAATGCTCAAAACCTCAAACTGCGGTGCTGCCGGTGCAAAGGGCCATGGGACCACTGATTCAGGCCTAGACTCACAGTAAAGCTCCAAGGGAGACAATGGGGGTAAGGAGTCTGGAGAACAATGTACAAGGCTAGAAGGAGAAGCAAGTACTAGAGAAACAGTCAGTCAGATGGGAAGGCTGATCTTTTGAGGGAAAAATTCAGAGTTGTCCTCCTTCCACCATTTCAAAGCCTGGAGGGTTATAACTATGAGAAAAATGGGAGTACATATCCTAACATATCTACATCTGCTTAAGCCTTGCTATGACCCTGCTGAACACAGACTCTGTCCAAATCCAAGTGGATAACTTTTCAAGGGCAAATGGAAGGCCAACATGTACTCAGGGCACACAGGAAGTTATTTAGTGAGCTCTTTCATCGACGGACCTGCTCTTTGGAAAGAAACAAACAATACATAGCAAAGACCCCAAACACAGAAGCAGCGCTGAGCCTAACACAAATAAAATGCTTCAACTTGCTCTAAGGACAACCAAGTAACAGAAAGATGCCAACAGGTTATACTGAAACCGAAAAACTAAAATTATCCCTCAACATGATCTGCATAGTTAGACTACACTAAGCAAAGAGGGAGACAGGCAGAGGGGGAACCCCCAGGAGAACGGGGGGTGGGGGCGGACCAGGCCTCTGAGACACCGCTGGCACTGGGGGCCACACTTCCCTTCCCCTGTTCCCCAGCAGAGCAGAGGTGACAGCAGAACCCCGGCCACATACAGGCCTCACTCCAGCAGCTTTCCCTCCGGCCGCCTCAGCCTCCCTGCTCACAGAGTCCCGGTCGGACGAGCGTCCGCTGGCCGTGCTGTCCAGGGACTGGCAGGAGACAGCGTTGTACAGCGCCTCATAGGGACCCTCCTCTTCCGTGCTGGTGTTAAAATCGATGATCAGTTCAGTCACTGCTTTCTCCAGGTCACCTAAAGAGGGGTGGGAAGGCAAGAGAATCGGTGAGAGGAGGGCACAGTCTCGGACTTCCCACCACAGCAACAAGCCAAAGCCCCTCCAGTCACCTGAACTTGACCAGCGTTAACCCAGAGCGGGAAAATAAATCACGGCTCTCTCTATGGACAAGACTAAATACAGAGTTTCATCTGCACTATGTACTCTAAGAACTGAACAAAATTTTCTCTAGTTCAAGATGGAACATTTGACATCAATGAAGGACATCTCCCAAGACTATTGTAAATTCCGAAATACCTCAATATCATGACAGCATGAACTTACACCAGAAAATATAGCAAAGTACAACTGAAGAAACTTCAGTAATCCCTTTAAGTTCTTAACAAGAACTTCCATGTGCTCAAGCAAAACAGGGGATGGTGAAGTCTCTCTGAGATGGGGATGCTATGTGGCTGTGAGACTCACTTGCTAGGTAGCTACAAACCTCAGGGTACCTGAAATCCAAATGTGTGACTCTGTCTGCAAAGGAACCAGGGATCTGGTTATAGACCGGGGATCTCTGGGTCACTTGCAAAGAGTCAAAACTGTAACTGTAAAATCCTTGAAAGCTAAGAGCTTAGTGAACTACTAATCCCATTACCAGCAGATTATGAGGTCAAGAAAAACAATGTGACTGGGGAGGAGAGTAGGGACTCCTCGGGAAAGACAGGCTTGGGAAGCCCTGAACCCTTGTATCTCTGCACTCCTCTGAAAAATCTTTCCTTTTTTAGTATGTGGCTTTGCTCTGTTTCTCTAGCCTTCCTCATTATGATCTGAATCTGGGAGAGGTGTCAGCCTGTGTTCTGTCTTTCTCATCCATCGGACCTAGGATCCAAAAGCGCTGTTCAATCAATCTGAAGAGGTGGATCCTGGCTAATGATGGAGAGGCTGGACTGCCCACATGAGCACCCAGACCACATTTGTTAGACAAATGATACATTACTAAAACCTGCCATATATAGCTACCAACCAGATGACACTTATTAAATATTTACTATGGGACAGCTGCATTCAAGGCACCACAGTGTATGCTGGGGGGATAAAAAAAGGTTTCACTGAGATTTGAGTTCATCCTGAGATCATCCTGTCTGTCACACATCCCAGGACAGCTCCCATGGAGCCAACTCTAAAAGTAGAGAATAAAGTGTGAAAGAAGACATCCATAGTTAAGGCCTAAGCGTTGCCCAAGAAAGCTTCATACAGTAGCTGAAAAAATATGAATTTGAATATGAATTTAAGTACTCCCAATCCCCCAAATTATAATTTAAATGAAGGTTTTTCCATTCTGCCAAAGAACATTCAATATTCAACCTTTTTCCACCTGAGACCCCCCCTGCAGGCAGAGAAGGGCTGACTCACCCTGAGACTTCTGGGATATCGAGTCCAGGTTGGAGATGAGAGGTGGCTGGGGTGTAAGGGTTTTGTCTACCTCTTTTGCACTTCTTTTTCCAGTCATGTGATCTACATGGAAAGACCAAAAAAAAAAAAAAAGCTGTACCAAATACCAATGTCTTGGTTCACCCAGCTGGTCCTCCAGTCGGCCAGGCAGGGAGATGGACCCATACCTTCAATAAGTGCCGCTATCTGCTGGCTCTTCTGAGACGGCAGCTCCCGGACGGTGTCCAGTGCGGTCAGTCCACGGTTATCCTTTATGTTGACATCAATTCCTAGAAAGGCACACCAGGTGGACCAGGGGAGTGAGGATTTTCAAGTGAGGGTCAAACTCCAGGACACCTAATGCTCCCAAGAGGCACAACCAACATTTTCATCCAAAGCCATTTTATCCAGCTATTCAAGAACAATTCGTACATTTGCAATCAAGATATACACATTGGGTTCAAAGGCAGCCAGCAAAAATTCCCCTCTGGAGATCCTGTTGGGCAGCGATCCCCACCCTGGCATGCTGTGTAGACAAGAGCACTGCCGACCTCTCACCTGCAGCCAGCAGGATTTGCACCACATCGGTCTTGCCAAACAAAGCAGCCTCATGCAAAGCACTGCCCTTCTCCGTCTGGAAAGCAAACGAGAGCGCAGAGCAGGATGTCATCAGACAGTGACTCAGGTTTGGCGGGGCTTCACATGACAAACGGGACACAAACGAGAAGGGACAGGAAAATAAAATAAACCACACGAAGTCCTCTGTCATTATCTTTCCCACTTTTCGGGTCTGGATTCCAAAACCACAATCGTGGCCCACACTTGGTAGAGGGTGTTTGATGTGCCACCAGGAGGCCACACATGAATAACTGCACGGTCACCCTCAGAGCCACCCACAGGTGACACTCCTCAAAACCCCACCTTCCTGCGGGGGAGGAATGATGAGAAGAAAAGGACAAGGGGGTGAAAACGCTGTAACTTCCATTGTGGTCTAGTGGCTGCCAAGCCTAAGGAACGGCCGTCCTGAGGGAGAAAGCTACCAGCAAAGGGGAAGGCTGTGTCCTGCCAGCAACACCAAGATGATGGGACTTTGGAGGTGCGAATGGTGGCAGCGGGAGCACAGGTAGAGGAAGATAACGAAAGCTTTCTAATTTCAAGAGGGCGTCCACAAGCATATCTTTTCAGGGTATAACGCCATGTATTACCCCTGAAAAGAAACGAAAAATAACAGACTCACTGGGGGAGTGTGTCTCTAAAGTTTCGTGTTACAATGAGTCAGCGGCTGGAAGCATCTGACAAGATGATGTGAACCGTGCTAAACAGGAACACAGCCCAGCAGCACGGAGCTCGTGCCTTCTCCGACAGGACTCAGTCCCTGGGCCCGGGAGGCCGCGCGCCCCGCTACCTGGTAGCTGCTGTCCATGCCGGCGTCCAGGAGGACCTGCACCACGGCCTTGTGGCCATTCCTCGCCGCCAGGTGTAGAGGGGTGTGCTTCTTAGTGTTGCAGCTCAGGAGGTTGGGGTGTGCATTAAGGAGCATCTTCACCACCTCCAGCCTCCCGTAGAGTGCGGCCAGGTCCAGAGGCGTCTCGAACTTGTTGTTGCGCATGGTGGGGTCAGTCAGCTCCTCTAAGAGGACCTTCACCACCTCCGTGTGGCCGTACTGCGCTGCGCAGTGCAGGGCCGTCTCGTTGTCATTGTTCTAAAGAGTTAACAGGCGGGTGACCGTCAGAAAGGTGACCGGCAGGCAGACGGGCACACACTGGGATAATCACGTGTAAAACCATTGAAATTTAAATGAGAAAAATAGCAGTAATACTCAGGGACTAGTAGAACTATGTCAGAATCCAGACAGACTCTGCTGTCAGCAGGCCAACCGCTCTGATCAGCCTCAGTTACTGCCAGAGGGGAGCAGTCGGCTCCTTCGCTTTTGCAGTCTCCTCTAGGCCACGTGGACACGTCTCCAGACGGCATGGAGAGCCACCTTGTGAGCACGGCACGCCGCGGGGAGCAGCCCTGGCACAGATGAACGCCCGTGATATCACTGCCATTGACTCATTTTAAACTTCGACTGGTTTTACAATTTCTATCGAGCCAACCCCGTGGTCCTGATTTTGGATCTATTAACCATCCATTGCCTCGCACACAAGCTTTTTGGAAAGGGCTTGTCATCTGCATAGCTTCTTACATGCAAATCAATCGGCCAACAATGAAAGTAGCAGAGCAGAGCACCCAAGATCACTTTCAACATATCAGCCAACAGCCACTGCCAAGGGACGGAGGTGCCTGAGCGCAGTCTCAGAGACACGTAGGACCCGAAGGCTGCCCTGAGCCTGCTCCAGAATACTGCCCCAATCACCACATGCAGGATCTGCAGCTGTGCAGGGAAGGGTTTCTTAGGTAAGAAAGATACAATCAGACACTGGAATATTTTGTGTGAGAGGTGCAAAATATTCAAGACTGGAACGTTGCCATTAATTCAAATTCACAGTCCCATGGTCCTCTGATGCCAATTTTGTTTCAGACTAAAGGCAGAACCTGAGATAAAACAGGACAAGTTTGTGCTTTATCAAACATCAGAAGCAAAATGTTAATCATTGCTCTTTCTTTTACTACTATTGACAGTGTATAACTGTAGACAGAGAGAAATTTCCATGACCTCTCCTTTTTTAGAGGCATGAGCGAAAATGATAATTCTCTCACAGGATTTTGAGATTCCTGAATTTATCCAGGAGACTTCTGCCATTTGGGGGAAACAAAGCTTCCAGGGGTGTGTGTCCTTCACATCAATATAATGCACCTTTCAGTGGTCAAAAGGTAAAAATTAAATGTTTCCACAAAAGCTTTAAATCTATTAATATATTCAAAGTAATAAACTAGGAGTTACCCAAACATGCATGCAATTCCATCTGCTTTTGATCTGGCATTTGACTGCATCATTTTTTCCAGCTACTCCAAGTGTATCAGAAAGATCCAGAGCTACTAGGAGCAGGGCCCCCAAAGGCCAGAATGACAGCAAAGAAATTTTTAAAAGTGAAACAAGGACAGAAAGGGTGGAAGCAGGAGCCACATGCAAAGATAAATGCACACAGATAAACACAGGGAGCAGCACTGAGCTCCAACATGGCTCTAGGAGAGCAGCCGCTGAGAAGGTACAGACAAGACTTCTCTGGCCACAGAATACAGCCAGTTAGCAACGGTCTCCTGTGATACAATTGGGTCCAGGGGGTCAATTCCATGTCAACCCGGAAGTCTAGAGAGCAGGAGAAACGCTGAGCCAGAGGTAAATCCTTGGGGCTCCTGTATCAAACACACCATTCAGGCCACCCATGCGCCCATTTCCTATTAGGCTATGGCATGAATAAAACTTAGAGCTGTCACTTCACTTGCTAACGAGAAGCAAGGACAGCTACAGCAAAGAAAACTCATAGGAGCTTCCTGTACAGGGATCCTGGGGCAGAGCTGCGACCCGAGGAAGTTTAAAAGGACTCTCCGCGGTTTAGATCTCAAGATTAGCATGACAGCAAGGGCCAAGAAACTCAGCTTATTATTAAAACTCCAGTCCAGAAAAACTCATTTACTCTAAAGTAGACACTGCTGTCTCTTTTATATCCAAGTTGTCTCTCAACAACCAGAATAATCGGTAAAAAGTATGTCATTAGGGCCTGAAGAACCATAAAACTCTGAACTATCTGGCGGAGGGGGAAAGAAGCCTTCTGGGTTTCTGCAGAACTAAAGCAGCCACCACAAAGCTGTCTCACTAAAGGCCCAGTCTTGATCCCCACCAGGCAAACTGTCTCGCCTGTCTATGTTAAAAATGGCCTAACCACAACTCTGCAGTTTATTTTCAGAGTGTAGGAAGCATCTTGTTTATGCTTCAGTCTTGCCAGAAATGGTCTGGTAACGACAGTACTCTTGAGTTTACATCTGTGGTGACCACATATCTTGACTATTGAACACGGGCCATACCACTTCCCCTTGGAGCCTGACAATTTTCAGGGCAAGAAGTCACTAAGTTTTGGACTCATGGACCCACAAAAAGGGGCAGGGGGACTCCAAGGAGGGTACAGACTCCCAGCCACCTGGAATCTTTCTTTTTCACACCTTTCAAGCCACACCTTGGGTGGACATCCCAAGAAATCTGGACTAAGCAAGGGGACAGAGATGAAATACCCAAATTTTCCCCCAAAGGCTTTGCACAAACTCTCCATTCTTGTTTATCTTGAAGTCCACGTTCATTTTTTCCTTGCTAGGTCATTACTTAAAAAAATCTCAGTACCCTTTACACCTAGAGACCCCACTCAATGCATAAATCCATTACTTATGTGTTTTACACACACACACACACACACACACACACACACACACATATGCACAATACAAGCAGTAGAAAACCATCTAGAAACATTTCCATGGCCTCTTCTCTCTGGGAACTATTCAAAACCATCACCTCTCAGTCCTTGGATCATAGTCCAACTACACTCTTGGCCACTGATGATAGATCTAAGTTAGAGACACTGGGGCTACAGCTCCCAGGTCTCACGATGGTACAGGCCCTGGAAATATACCCACATTGTAACAAAAGGACGAAGTGAGTCTATGGAGGTTTAGAAGACAGGGGAAAAGTATGAGGACAAAGTCCATCATGTGGACCACATGGAAGAGGAGTCAGACTTATTCTGCAAAGCTCTTAAGGCACTACTCTGACCAACAGATGGAAGGTTTAGGAAAACAGACATCAACAAGCACAAAAGCCCCAAATCAATGGAATCCAAAAGGAGGCTTCCAAGAGTGATTCTGTTTACTACGAAGAGAAACAAATAAGGCCCACTTTTTAGATGAGAAAAGAGAAATCCTGTGGAAAGTTAGCCTAGATCAGTGGTTCTTAAATAAGCTTTGTTTTAGAATTACATGAAAGCTTAAAGGGAAGTAATCCTAAGCCCCACTCCAGGACTGCCAAGGTAGCACCTTGAGAGTGAAGCCCAGGAAAACTATTATTAAACAGGTTACCAACCTAGCAGACACCAAATTAACCAGGCAATCATTCATTATGATCAAGAACAAAACAAACGGACATCATGTGCCCTGTGGTGTGATGCACTAGAAAGGAAGGACGGAACATCACTCTTGTGGTGTTACTGCCAAGAATGTACAAGCTGAACCTAAGCATGAGGAACTATCAGCCAAACTCAAAGGGACGGACAGCCTACAAAACTACTGGCCTGTACTCTTCAAAAATGTCAATGTCATGAATGACTAGAAAAGGCTGAGGACAACTGTTCCAGATTATGTATGATCCTAGACTGTATCTTGGACCAGAAAAAGAAGTCACCCTAAAGGACATTATTGAGACACTTGGTGAAATCCAAGCATTGATTTCATATTAAATAATGGTATTGTATCAATGCTGAATTTTCTGAATTTGATAACTGTATTCTGGTTATATCAAGTGAATGTCCTTATTCTTAGAGGAGATACATGCTGAAGAATTTGGGATTAAAGGGTCATGAAATCTATGACTTAATTTCAAATGGAAGCTGGAAGTGAAGTCACTCAGTCGTGTCCAACTGTTTGCGACCCCAAAGATTGTAGCCTACCAGGCTCCTCCATCCATGGGATTTTCCAGGCAAGAATACTGGAGTGGGTTGCCATTTCCTTCTCCAGGAGATCTTCCCAACCCAGGGAATCTCAAATAATTCATCAACTACAACAATTACATACACACACACACACACACAGGAGAGCACAAGAGTGTGCATACGAGAAGAAACATGGTGTAAGCACACACAATATCAAAAAGTGTCAACAATTGGTGAATCTAGCAGAAGAGTATAATGCAGTTCACTGAATTATTCTCGTGACTTTTTTGTACACTAGAAATTTTTTCCAAATAAAAGAATGTTATAAAGCTTGCTGGTGATTCTGATGCAGCCAGACAAGCTGATGAACTGCTGGAGACAACTGGTCTAGAGAATGTCCAGATCTCTTCCAGCTCTAAAACTGTGGATCACTTTTAAGTGTCTGGAAAAAAACAGATCTTCCATAAAATTAATTTGACTACTGCTCATCTTATGCTATTTAGACTAAGTCAAAACTGTCTTAAAAGGGAGAAAGTAAACAATTTTAATAGTTTACCCTTCGCTAAGGATGACATACATTTGGACTGGTTTATGTTGACTTGCCAAAACAGGAAAGGTTCTGTAGAGTGAAAAGAAGATAAAAATGAAAACTACCTCTGCTCCCAGGATGGGCATCTACAACTTCTTATGCCTACAGGTGCCTGACAGGACTCAGCATACAAATGTACTTTAGCAAAAACAATTCTTAGACACACCAGGTCAATAAAAACCCACTGAGTCAAGAATAAAACCTAGGGAGGTTAGAATCTTATCAGCCTGAGAAGAGTCTGCATTCCTAGAACAACCCAAACAGCTTTATCCTTTAATGGAGTTTACATCGTTTGGCCTCTGAGGGGTTGGTGGGTAGGTAGAGGCAAAGGGTAACACAGCTGGTCCCTCCCATCCACCCTCCCATCCTCCGAGTTCTTCATCAGAGAAGTCAACCAACCATGGGTCAAAAATATTCAGGGCAGGGAGGGAGTCCAGAAAGTTCTAAAAAGCAAAACTTTAATTTCCCACATGGCAACTAGTCTTTTTTCAGCCACACCCCGCAGCACATGGGATCTTTGTTCCCCAACTGGGGATCGACCCACACCCCTTGCATTGGAAAGGCAGAGTCTTAGCCACTGGACTGCTAGCAAAGTCCTCATGTGGCAACTATTTATACAGCACTTACAGCATGTTATTGTATTACGTTGTACTGTTAGGTATTATAAGTAATCTAGAGAGGATTTAAGGTGTACAGGACAGAAGTAGGTTACATGCAGACACTACACCGCTTTATTGTAAGGACTTGAGTACAGTATCCTCACAGGTCCTAGAACCAACATCCTCATGAATACTGAGGGAAGATTATTTCCAAAGAGAGAAGTAAGTTCTTATTCCATTTAGACTAAGTTTCTTTTATGTGTGTAAAATCAAGGGATAGGAAAATCTGCTTTTAAGAACCAAAGTCATACCCTTTAATCAGAGCTTTATAAGCTAACTAACCAACCACCAAGTGGGAAACAATCACTTCAAGGTGTCTCCCCGCAAAACAAAACCCTGAATGGACCAATGGAGCAATGTCACATTAAGTGACCCCCACTAGTAACAAAGAACAAATTTCAAAATGGCCTTTCAGAAATGCCACATGATGTATACCTCTTAAAATCAGAAACTCAAATACTACTACTAATCAGATATTTTTACTTCATGTACATGATCTTATTTGAACTCCAATAATCCAGCCAATTAGATGGTAAACCCCATTTTACAGAAGAGGAAACTAAAGCTCAGAGAAATAAAGTAACTTGTTCAACTCAACACCAGTAAGTGGTACCACAGAATTCATACTTGGATCTGACTCGAAAAGAAAGATCTTGATCAATGAGGGTTTTCCACTATGCCACACTACTTCCAAAAAAACAGAAGTCAAAGTACCCACCCCTCTTGAAGATTAGAAAACAGAATTGGAAGTGTGGGTAAGAACAAAAGCTACCATGTTTCACCACCCCAGATCAAACTGCCTCTCCACCATTAGGGCCCGAGAGCTGAGGGCAATTTCCTGCAGAGCCTGCTGAGGTCCAGCCCATAGGGGGCTCATTTGCTAAATCAGTGTCTCTTACTGAAAATCATGAAATATCTGCCTTGCATTTGGAAACACACAGAAGGACCTCACGTTTCCCTTCCCAGCGGCTGCTGAACTCAGAGCAAGTGAAAGGGAGCTGATGTGAACAATGCAGTGACTCAACCAGACTCCAGATTGTTGCCAAGAAGCAAACCTCATCTGGATGAAAACCTGAGTCAAAAACAGCAGGTGAGAGCGCAGAGAAGAGAGGCTAACACCATCGCCCAACCCACCAGCTCCGCCTCCAGAGGCCGTCGAGGCCCACGGCTGGATGCTCATCACTACATCAGCCCGTCATCTACCCCAGCCTCAGCGAGGGAGACTCACGGCCAGTGCCCTGCTTGGCCCTGCACCTTCATTTCCTACTTCTGAGCTGTTCTAACAGCCAAGCGTGTCCAAGCAGAGCAAGAAGCTATGGCTAGGGAGAAGAGACTGAGGCTTTAAACAAAGATTCAGGTGCAAACTCAAAGAAAAGAGAGGGAAACCACACCAGCAGCTTTCAAGGGTAAAACAGAGTCACCCACGCCCCTCTGCCACACCCTCACCACAAGCTACGGAAAATCAGGTTCCACCTCAAAAGAAATATAAAAAGCAAACTTAAAAAAAAAAGTTAATCTAGGAAGTACAATTAAATCATTTTCTGACATCTATAATTGCATTTTTCTTTTTTGAATTTAAATGATTTTAGAAATCATGGTAGTAAATTATGCCCATATATGGTCCCTTCTATTTCCCCATTTCTGCCACTTCTAAGCTTTTCAGACATTACAGGAAAAACACCCAACCTTTCCAGAACTGGTATGGGTTTTAAAAACAAAACCAAAACCCACTGAAGCTGTGTTTTCCCATTCCCAGGCAAGCCAGAAGCAGATGGGCAGAAGCGAACAAACGTCAGGATGATGAAGAAGAGTCTGAGCGGACAAGAGTGGAAGCTAGAGAGGACCGAACAGAAAGTGCAGCTTGGAGAAACGATGCAGAGAAAGCCTGGCAGCAAAGTACACACCTTGGCATTGATATAAGGGTCAAAGGGGCCGTACTTTTTGAGTTCTTTGATCTCAAGAGCATTCTATAAAAAGGAGAGGAAAAGAAAATGTGATGATAAAATGGATGAAATATATCAATGCAATGCACAGCCCTGAGGGGCCCCAACACTACACCAACTCGGATCTGTCCTCTGGGTGCCTCGAAAGGAAGTTAACGGAGAAGACAACCTCCAGGTCACCTGTCATCACCCCTCTTGCCCAAGCTTCCAACTGGAGCAACATTAATAATGGTTTTTAATAAATCAGTGAAGTACTTGTAACCACTGCCTAGATACATTAGTTCCTTCGAGCTCTCAGAGGTTGTGCACAGCCCCCGCCCCACCCACCTGCCTGCCAGATATGCAAAGCACAGGGGCCAGGGGCCCATCTAAGACACTCCAGGCGGGAGGTGGCTGTGAGCAGGTCAAGCTAGCACACTCCAGTGGCTCAAAAACCCAAGCAGCTGTGTTCCAAGGCAAAAGTGAGCAAAGAGGATTAGGAATGGTGGCTGAAAATTTCTTCAATGAAGAGGACTTTACTGTGTGATTTTTCAACTTTGAAGGATACTGGTTAATAACAAACCTCTTTAAAATATTTCCTCCAGGTAAGAGCAATCATCATCATGTTAGCCAGGAGGAGTAAAACTGCATTTAGGTTCTAAAGAGGCAGGCTTAAAGAGATGATTTTCCTTCCTAATGTTATAAAACAAACATCCTCATCAACGATCTGGAATGTCTGTTGCTCACCTACCCAGAAAATACAGCCTGCAGGGGGAAGGGAAGCTGATGAACAGCTACACACACACTCTCTCCAAACAGAGAAGGCTGGGAGAACCGCAGCAGTCTTCTCGAACCTCTCGGTGACTCAAGAGACTGCTCTGCTCTGAACAGCTCACTGAGAATGCACATGGTCCTGCTGCCGGAGGGACTTCAAGAACGGTTTCCTGGTTTTTTTGAAGAATAAGCCTGATCTAATCCCAGAGGCCACTGAACAACCTCCTCTCATCAACATCATTAGGAAAAGAATCCTAAGTTTACTGAGAAAGGGCAGCATCTCTCACATTCAAGCACCTACCTCAGAGCAGAGAGGAAAAGAGGAGAATGGCTCGTCATAGAGAGAGGGCCCATCTCCTCTCAAATCGACACCATCTCAGACCCAAACTAAAGGGAGTTCCACTTCATGAGAGGCTGGTCTAGAACTTCATAATTCAAATATAAATTTCCCAAAGGACTACATATAAAGAAGAGGAGGTACAGTCTAAGGGTACCTGAATCTATGGCCAGTGTATGGGGTTTCTGCTCAAAAGCTGCCTTTTTTATTTTTTAAGAATACTCTCTGCTTTGTCAAAGAATGTGGTGTTTTTGTTTTTTTTTTTACTTAAAAAACCCCAAGTATTTGGAAATTAAATGTCCACTTTCAAATGATGGGTGTATCTAAGAAGCCATAACAAGGAAAATTAGAAAATAGTTTTAACAGAATAAGAATGAAAAGAGTATCTACCAGCATTTGTCATAGGCAGCTGAAGCTGCCCAATGTAATGAAATACACTACGGAACCTTGAATAAGGTATGAAAACAAATAATGGACACTAGCATATAATTTTGTGAACATGAACAAAATCTGTACTTTGGTTAATAATACGGTATCACTTTAAGAATGGTCAGTCTTAAGTGAACATTAAAGGACACCATTGAAATGATCTTCATTCTGCTGTGTCACCTCTGGCCTCCACTTATGTGTCTTTGTGAGTTCGTTTTTCAGCTACAGCATGCATTCCTCCACTTCTGATGCACACAAAACAACATGGTCCCCACAGTCCTGACACGCACTGGCGTGTTTTGGTTTACCAGCTCAAGCTGCACAGCCGCGTTGATGGCATGAACCCACTAGTTTAAAATGAACCCTGGGCAACTGTGCAGGATGTGCATTATTTCCAATCTTGTGCTCTGTTACAGTACTATTCCAAATCTGCATAATTCAAATGCATATGAAATACACCCTTCAAGGTACAAGGTCTCTCTGATTCACTAAAAGGAGTGGCATTGGGAAGAGGGGAATTACTCTTAGGCCAGGGAAGAGCTGGTTCCCTTAGATCTGAGCTGTGGGCCTGAGATGGCTACCAAGGTCTGGCTGGAGCTGCGTGGAGAAAGCGTCCCTTCCTTCCAACCTGTTCATTGACTTTGGTGTGTGACGGCCCTTGATGGATGAGCAACCGCACTATCTGGGCGTCTCCTTTCCAGGCTGCCAAGTGCAGCGGATAACAGCCTTTAGAGTCAGCCACGTTGGTCAGCGCGTCGTTCCTCAGAAGAACCTCGACCACATCCCTAAAAGGCAAAAATCGACCTTGAGTTGCAGAACCCACAAGTCTTTCCTACCAACAGCTCTGCACGTCTGTGTAGCATGAAGCCCTTTCACAGAGAGGAGCTCACCTGGCTCCCATCTCTACCTGAGCTTATCACCTGATTCTTCCTTTCAATTCCCCGACTACTTGTGCAGCTGTTGACAAGTGGCTGAGTCATCTTGAACCACACCCCACTGACTCTTCACCTCCTGGTTTAGATGTTTTCTAGACAATCCATTTATTTTCCATTATCTTGAAAAAGTCTGGTTTCCTTGTTTGTGATGCTGAAACAGCATTCAGGGACAGAATTTATATAAAAGTAGTCATGCAAAACAAATATCATTATTCACCACATTATTCAAAACATTTGGTGAGAGGGGAGCTGGAAATAAGACAGGCAGAGCAGACTCAGAGTGGTTGCAAACATAAACCTTAACCTTATGCAAACATAAACATAAACTTTTGCAAGCAGAAGACACATATGGTATCACTTGATACATCCAGAAAGGATGACTTGGCTTCCTTCTTGGTGACACCACTAATTAAGCAAATAAAAATGTATAATTATCCCCATGCACATGAGATCCAAGAAAATCCCCACTGTAAATAAAAACAGAATATGGACATGAACTTGGCTAACAAGCTACAGTCATTTAAGTCCAAGATCCACTTTAACTCCGGCTACCCCACTATTTAAGGGGGAGGATGTCTCTACAGATTACGTTAGCTTTGTCTAAGATGGTTATAGAAAAGACTGCACTACAGAAAACGATCATGTTCAACATATCTTAGGGCTTCCCTGGTAGCTCAGCTGGTCAAGAATCCACCTGCAATGCAGGAGACCCCAGTTTGATTCCTGGGTTGGGAAGATCCCCTGGAGAAGGGAATGGCTACCCACTCCAGTATTCTGACCTGGAGAATTCCATAGACTGCATAGTCCATGGGGTCGCAGAGTTGATCAGAACTGAACGACTTTCACTTCACTTTAGAAAAGCATATTGGAGTCATTTTGCTGTTGTCATTGTTTAGTCACTAAGTAATGTCTGACTCCTTTGTGACTCTATGGACTGTAGCCACTGAGGCTTCTCTGTCCATGCGCTTGTCCAGGCAAGAATACTGGAGTGGGCTGCCATTTCCTCCTCCAGGGGATGTTTCCGATTCAGGGGTCGAACTCGAGTCTCCTGCATTGGCAGGTGGAATCTTTACCACTGAGCCACCAGGGAAGCCCATGCAGAGTCACTCAGGCTGGGCCCAATATTGTGACAGTGACACAGAATACCACAAGGTGGCAGGGCCCAGCTCCCTGCTCAGAAAAGTCTAAATGGTCCCAATAAACTGTCTTTTCTAAAAATTAAACTTCTACTGCTTATCTTTTCTAGTATTAGGCCTCAAACTCTCACCAGCGCCCTCTCTTCTGTTCTGCTCCGGTTTTCATTCTTCCAGCAAACCTACCCCCTGCACCTGCACTCCCCGCTGGGCCTGCCCCTGCTCTGGGCCTTCCCCTTCTTCACTGAAGGGCAGGGCCCTCTTCAGGCTGCCACAGCACACCTCCAGAGAAGCTTCCACACAAATCCCATATAAAAAATCCGAATAACTTCCCTATACTTAACACAATTAAATAGGCCATATTATTTGTGCATTTTTCCCTCAAGAATGGCTCTTGTTGTGTACAAGGCTACTTTCATGAGGAAAGAGTGGCAAGCAGAAAGATAAAGTAAACAGAAAAATTCTCACAACCACTCGATCTCTTTTCAGCTTATAAAGAGGCTGGTTACCTGGTAGATTATCCAGCCCCATTACGCTCTAGCGTCCCCGAATCTGAGCTTCTTATTCAGATCACTGTATGGCGCTGATCCATTTCAGAGGGGAAAAGAAGAAGCTTTTAATGTTATTTTGGAGCAAGGGTTAGGGAATGAGGTTTAAAGTATACACTAAACAGTGACTCAAGAATTCTGGACAGACTAAATTTAGCTTTTCTCTGTTCTTCAGCATTCCTGCTTAGTACATCTTTAAAGGAAGGAAAAAAAGGAAAAAGACAAGCTAAGGCCTGAGTTCTGAAGAGTGGGGCAGGAATATAGCCCATTAATACTTACTTATGGCCATTCAAAGCAGCATGGTGCAGCGGTGTATACCCAGTGCTGTCAACACAGTTCACATTAGGCCCTCTCCAAATGCTGTAGGAAAGACAAAAAGACTGAAGTCACAAACCGAATCTGGAGGCAGCTAGCTGCTTGGGAAAAACTTCTGTGTGGTGTTTAAGCCAGCAGGTTACTTCCTTATGACTCCTGATACAGGACAGCAGCTATGCGCTACAGAAGCACACGGCACTGAGGGTACACCAGTGGTTTCCGGAACAAGGAGTCAAGTGTCAAGACAACACCGTCATCATCTCAGCGCTTGTTTTCCTGTATCCTTCTCCTCACTGGTAACTTCTTTATTCATTCAGTCTGGGACTCGTGCCTCCGAAAACTGTCAGGCTTATAAGAAATGGCCTCTTTGAAAGGTCATCAAAAATAGCACTGAATCAAACCACTAGTCAGTTATAGGTACTGGGCACTCACCTCTAATGCTGGTGACTGAAGGCTGGAGAGACCTCAGCATAGACCAGACAGATTACCAGGATCATTCGACCACAAGGACCAAAATCAAAGAACCCATGTTCGTAAAAGCACCCAGATACATGTGTTAAGATGCAAGGGACAATTTTGCCTTTCCTTTGTGAATATGTCTTACTGGTAATAAAAAGAATAACAACAGAATCTACATGAGCACCTTACTTGAATCAGAAATACCATACTAAGAAGGTTGAAATGTCACCTCATTTAATCCTCGAAGTCTTAATTCTGACTTCTGTTTCATACCTTAACGACACTGGCCAGAACTTCTAATATTAAGTAGTACAGGGCAGCCCTGTTTCGTCCTTGCTTTTGATGAGAACACCTCTAACGCTGTTGGCAGTTGGCCTGAGGTAGACACTCCATAACATGTAAAGGAAATATCTTACTTTTTTTTTCCCTTTTAAAAATGTATTAGAAATACTGTTTAAGTGTTTTTACCTCTATGGATAAAATCATAGTTTTTCACAATGAACCAACCAAAATGTTATCAATAGCTTCCTTAATATTGAGTCATTCTTTCATTCCTGAAATAAGCCTTATTTGGCCATTATCCATTAGGGTCATGTCAATGAATTCTACTTGAGAGCATTTTACTTAGGATTAGGATTTTCACATCTGCATTCGTAAGTGAAGCTGGTCTAAAGTTTTTGATTTTTGTGCTCTCATTATTGGGTATATCTGTGTTAGATTTAAGTCACAGATCACCTGGGCAGCTATCTACCTATTTCTATATTCAGGAATCACTGACATAGAGCACTAAAATGATAAAGAATCACCAGTAAAACCATCTGGGCCCAGAGACTTGACACGCAGACATTGGAAGCAGCATTATTTATAACAATAAAATATTAGAAACAGTCCAAAAGTCCATCAATAGAGAAATAATTATAATAATTAAGGTGTAGACACATAGAATTAAGTACCATTTATACTGCTATCTAGTAAGACAGAACAGAGATTACAACATAATGCTAAGGAGAAAAAAGAAACAACATTGTAAATACTGTAGAGAAAAAATATATATGAGAGATTTATCAGGATAGTGGATTGGGTACACAAGCTCACTCCATCTCTTATCTAAAGTTGTGTGAAGTGAAACAATTTCTACCCTATACTACAGATAACTGACAGACATAAAATTGATAGATCCAACCCAAGAAAATAAAAAAAGAAATGTCACCAAGTAACTGGCAACACTGAGAAACTCCTAAAAGGCAGAAACCAGACAGCCTAGATCTAGAGACACAGTGTAGAAGAATGAAAATTAAAGCTATCATATACTTCTTTTTGCCTATCAGCCTGACAAAAAATAATCACATTAGCTTGTTAAAGATCAGGGAAACAAACTCTTAAATTCAACTGGTATGAGTTTAAACTGGTGAATTCCTCTGGGAATACAATTTGGCAGCATCCACCAAAACCAAAAATAGGCATTCACTCTGGGCCAGCAGCTCCACTTCCAGGCAACTATCCAACAGAAACACTTGTACACGTGCACAAAGACACATCCTTGTACAGGATTGCTTCTCTGTAGAGTAAGAACTACAGACTTAATGACCACCTATAGATGGGCAGTTAAACATCAGGTACACCCATAAAATAAATTATTACTTGACAGTTAACAACAACAAAGGAAAGACAAGAAAACAAGTTGGACTGTGTGTCCTGACAAGGAAAGATTTTGTAAGATGCACTGTGTTACTGTGAAGTGGAAAAAAAGAAGTCATTGTATAATATATAAAAGATGAGGCCTCATTTTAGACAGACAGACAGACAGACAGACAGACACACACACACACACACACACACACACCCATGGATGGCGATGCAGAGAGTGCTGACCAAGTGCGACAGTAGTTACCTCTGGGGAAAGGAGGTAGGTGTTGGGGAGGCACTGCAGCATATAGTGAAGGAGGACTTTCAGTTTCTACTCTATATTCTACCACACCATTTAGAACACAGTGATGAGAAGGCATTCATGTAGTGGTCTTTTTATAAAGTTTTTTAAATGATGGGAAGGAACCCACATACAGGGAAAAGAAGAGCAAAAAATCAAAATAGTAACAATAAATGGTTATATATGTGAGACACGAGTCACTTTAATAAGTATGTAAGTATTTGGCTTAAAAGCTGAAGATAAGTTTTTTTTTTTTTTCAAAAGAAAGGTTTTTATTTTTATTTTTTTTCATTTATTTTTATTAGTTGGAGGCTAATTACTTTACATCATTGCAGTGGGTTTTGTCATACATTGAAATGAATTAGCCATGGATTTACATGTATTCCCCATCCCGGTCCCCCCTCCCACCTCCCTCTCCACCCGATCCCTCTGGGTCTTCCCAGTGCACCAGGCCCGAGCACTTGTCTCATGCACCCAACCTGGGCTGGTGATCTGTTTCACCCTAGATAATATACGTGTTTCGATGCTGTTCTCTTGAAACATCCCACCCTCGCCTTCTCCCAGAGTCCACAAGTCTGTTCTATACATCGGAGTCTCTTTTTCTGTTTTGCATATAGGGTTATCGTTACCATCTTTCTAAATTCCATATATATGTGTTAGTATACTGTAATGGTCTTTATCTTTCTGGCTTACTTCGCTCTGTATAATGGGCTCCAGTTTCATCCATCTCATTAGAACTGATTCAAATGAATTCTTTTTAATGGCTGAGTAATATTCCATGGTGTATATGTACCACAGTTTCCTCATCCATTTGTCTGCTGATGGGCATCTAGGTTGCTTCCATGTCCTGGCTATTATAAACAGTGCTGCTATGAACATTGGGGTGCACGTGTCTCTTTCAGATCTGGTTTCCTCGGTGTGTATGCCCAGAAGTGGGATTGCTGGGTCATATGGCAGTTCTATTTCCAGCTTTTTAAGAAATCTCCACACTGTTCTCCATAGTGGCTGTACTAATTTGCATTCCCACCAACAGTGTAAGAGGGTTCCCTTTTCTCCACACCCTCTCCAGCATTTACTGCTTGTAGACTTTTGGATAGCAGCCATCCTGACTGGTGTGTAATGGTACCTCATTGTGGTTTTGATTTGCATTTCTCTGATAATCAGTGATGTTGAGCATCTTTTCATGTGTTTGTTAGCCATCTGTATGTCTTCCTTGGAGAAATGTCTGTTCAGTTCTTTGGCCCATTTTTTGATTGGGTCATTTATTTTTCTGGAGTTGAGCTGGAGGAGTTGCTTGTATATTTTTGAGATTAATCCTTTGTCTGTTGCTTCGTTTGCTATTATTTTCTCCCAATCTGAGGGCTGTCTTTTCACCTTGCTTATAGTTTCCTTTGTTGTGCAAAAGCTTTTAAGTTTCATTAGGTCCCATTTGTTTATTTTTGCTTTTATTTCTAAAATTCTGGGATGTGGGTCATAGAGGATCCTGCTGTGATTTATGTCGGAGAGTGTTTTGCCTATGTTCTCCTCTAGGAGTTTTATAGTTTCTGGTCTTACATTTAGATCTTTAATCCATTTTGAGTTTATTTTTGTGTATGGTGTTAGAAAGTGTTCTAGTTTCATTCTTTTACAGGTGGTTGACCAGTTTTCCCAGCACCACTTGTTAAAGAGGTCTCAATAGATGCAGAAAAAGCCTTTGACAAAATTCAACATCCATTTATGATTAAAACTCTCCAGAAAGCAGGAATAGAAGGAACATACCTCAAGATAATAAAAGCTATATATGACAAACCCACAGCAAGCATCACCCTCAATGGTGAAAAATTGAAAGCATTTCCCCTGAAATCAGGAACAAGACAAGGGTGCCCACTCTCACCACTACTATTCAACATAGTTTTGGAAGTTTTGGCCACAGCAATCAGAGCAGAAAAAGAAATAAAAGGAATCCAGATAGGAAAAGAAGAAGTGAAACTCTCTCTGTTTGCAGATGACATGATCCTCTACATAGAAAATCCTAAAGACTCTACCAGAAAATTACTAGAGATAATCAACGAATACAGTAAAGTTGCAGGATATAAAATTAACACACAGAAATCTCTTGCATTCCTATACACTAACAATGAGAAAACAGAAAGAGAAATTAAGGAAACAATACCATTCACCATTGCAACAAAAAGAATAAAATACTTAGGAGTATATCTACCTAAAGAAACAAAAGACCTATACATAGAAAACTATAAAACACTGATGAAAGAAATCAAAGAGGACACAAACAGATGGAGAAATATACCGTGTTCATGGATTGGAAGAATCAATATTGTCAAAATGGCTATACTACCCAAAGCAATCTACAGATTCAATGCAATCCCTATCAAACTACCAACGGTATTTTTCACAGAACTAGAACGAATAATTTCACAATTGGTATGGAAATACAAAAAACCTCGAATAGCCAAAGTAATCCTGAGAAAGAAGAATGGAACTGGAGGAATCAATCTGCCTGACTTCAGACTATACTACAAAGCCACAGTCATCAAGACAGTATGGTACTGGCACAAAGACAGAAATATAGATCAATGGAACAGAATAGAAAGCCCAGAGATAAATCCACGAACCTGTGGTCACCTTATCTTTGACAAAGGAGGCAAGGATATACAATGAA